TGATGTGTCTTCTATCAAGAGAGTTGATTGAAATTCAAGGCTTTTGAAGTTCTGGTGTATGTGTGGAGTAGAATCTGCCTGATTGCGTTAGGTTTTCCTTAAATGTGTTTTTCCACCTCTTGTGTATGTCGTGTTTTATTAGTTTTATGAGATCTTCATAGGGTGATCTTGTTTCTGTTAGGTCTTCCAACTTGCATCCTTGGCTGGCTAGGTTGTCCGCTATTTCGTTGCCGGGGATGTTCGTGTAGCTGGGGACCCAGCAGAATTCTACTTTGGCTCTGTAGCGTGTAACAGAGCTTGAGCAATTGCCAAGCATTCTGCTGTCGCTATGGAGGCATGGTTTGGGAGTCTGGCGGAGTATTTTAGTTGATTGGAAGGGCTATAAACTCCTGACCCAACTCCGACTTGGCTGACTGAGCCGTCTGTGTAGTAGGCTTCCCAGCCTTTCCATTTGTTTTGAAAGTAGTGCAGAAAAGCCTGTTTATTGTCCGTTTGTTTTTGGAGAGCGGGTACCGTAAATACGGGTGACTTTGCACCCCGCGGGTGACTTTAACCCATTTATGAAAAATCTTTTCGCGCTCGATAAAATTAACATTTATAATTTGTTGGTCTAATCCTGTCAATTGAGCGATTCTATTGAGTTTTTTTTACAGGAAAATCAGTGTTTTAAAGAAAGAAATGGGATTTATTACACTTTAAAATTGTATATATCGCATCAGTGCAAAACTCTTAGAAATACACGCGTTACAATTTCTATATTATGCGCAATCCATTGGAATGATGATTCTTGGTTAACTACAGGTCGATTTTTAATTTTTTTTATTGGTAATCCCTTGCAATAGATATATGTCGCTGCTAACACGTGTCTAATACAAATAAAATATAATATTGAATTTATTTTATACGGAAAATACACTGCGAGACAAAGTTACCCGCAACCAGGGGGTAACTTTGCACACCCAGTTTTTAATTTTTATTTTTGAAACTCAGCCCTATGTAATATTATAACATAGTTATTATGAAAGAGCAACTCAAGACTCAAATTTTGGTATACAAAATTTAATGTTTATGATTGTTAAAACCACAAAAATTTTAAGCTGAAGTTTGAAAGTGAGCCAAAGCCACCCGTGTTTACGGTACGTGGATCTTTCTTTTAACGGAGATGGAGTCGAAGTTTGTATTGAAGCAGGGGAGGAGGGGGGAAGTTTTTATCGAGGCGGTTTTGTTGAGGAAACAGTCCAATGCGTAGACTATAGGGGGAGGAGATTTGTTTGCCCAGTATATTCCGTCGTCATAGTAGTCCGAGTAGACGCCTATAAATTTTGCTTTAACTGGGTGGTTTTTCAAGGAGAACTTTTTGACTTATTTAACTGTTTTTCCAATAACCTAATTTTCCTGTATGAAGCCGCTTCATTGAAGCGCTTCTATCTTTACGAACTCTTGTTGTTCCTGATAACCTGTTTGCTTCCTCATCAACATCAATTCGATCCGGGGTGCCTGGCGGCGCGTTTTCTTCAAGGAATTCAATTTGTCCACGATGAATTTTCTTGTTTTCTCGACATTTCAATTGGTCCAATCTCCATCTTTTTCTCTGTTTACCTATAATAGTCAGGTATTATGACGCACGAGAAGCTAATTAACCCAGGGAACACCCACTGTTGCCACGTTTCTCCGCGTCATCTGATGCCTGTACTGTGTAAATTTGTTACGTCATAATTATAATCCGTTTTTGTTCCCCGAGCGTTTAACATTTGACATCAAGCTAGATAGCTCAGATGGTAGGGCGGACGCTTGGCATGCGAGAGGTCCCGGGTTCGATACTAAGAAGCTGTGGAACTTTTTTTATTTCATAAATTTGTTGTTTCTTTGTTATACAGTGTTCGGTTGGGTTGGTTGGTTTGTTTTAGTTTTATCGTAACATAAAATCTACTAGAAGTTGTCGAACTTTTTTATTTCATAAATTTGTTGTTCCTTTGTTAAAAAGTGTTTTATTTTTATCGTAACATAAATTTGCCCATTTTAGTTGGGTTTTTTGATCAATGGGGCGGGGGGGATGCCCAATGGGGCAAGGTCGGTTGGGTTGTGTTGTTGAGTTTGGGTTGGTTTGGTTTTATGGTTTTAATAGTTTTGTTTGACAGATGACGCGGAGAAACGTGGCAACAGTGGGTGTTCCCTGGGTTAATTAACTTCTCGTTTATGACGCACCTGATATTTTGATATAAACTTACTAGTTGCCACTCTGTTTACTTTATATTTGGGTGACAATTTAAGTATAACCTCTAATTTTGCATATTATAACATGTATATCTACCAGCCATGCTAGTGATTTTAATAAATCAGTCTTCTTTATTACCTATGTCGGTATTACTCTGGTATCATTTACTTCATGGCGCAGTCGGAAGGATATTTTCTATAGTGGGGGTTATTACAGTGTTTCTTAGTATTATGTATACATATGACATCTTTCTTTTTCCAATAAAGTTATACAACATTTACAATTGTTATTAACACAGCTGGAACCCGTAACAATACTTGTGCTAGAGTGTATAATTTATAGATCACGTGCACAATTATTTTTTGCAAAAACTTATTTTATAGATTTTAAAATTAATTTTTGCAAAAAGAGTCTCTAGAGTTACATTACGGTTCCGGTCAATAACGAAATCTAAGACTCTTCGTTGTTTGCCTACTTGAAATTTTAAGATGCAGCGCTTAGACTGTGACCGCTCATGCTCATTCCATCGTACACTGCGGCACAGTCTGTGGTCTGCGGCTAGCCTTCAACGTATGCTAGCCTTCAACGTATGTATACGTATAATACCGTATACACTAGGGTGGTCCAGAAACGAATTAAAAAAGTGAAGTTGTAAATAGACTTATTCTCACCCTCTAATTTTTTTATATAAAGTAAAAAAAGTTATTTTAGAAAATTTGAACCCTCTAGCTTAATTAGAAGGGAGTGCTCACAGCTATGATAGAATGAATCTGAAGACAATATATCCACATGAAAATCATGGTCCAGAACTCTTAGTAGCATAAATTGCAGCTTTTTTGTGGTTTCTGTCGGAACAGATTTCCGATTCGTTTCTACGATTTGTAACAAGTCTTGCTTTTCGTCCTCATTTTTTATAATTGATTATGCTCTTCAAATAGTTTTACCCATCTTTCCGCTATATAATTTACAACTCGAAGTTTACAACACACAGTCGACCTTGAAAAAATATAAGTAAGAAATAATTTATTGCGTAGACAAAGGCCATATTAATATTATGATTATTATTATTGTTGGTATTAAAATTATTACGAGTTCATTGGATAAGTACCAAAGATGATGTTTCAGAGATTCTCTAGCAACCTCGCTTTTCCCAATCTCCTCATAGCGTTCTAAATCTTTCCAAAAAGTTAGGTCGGACATAGTAGCTTTAGTAGCACACGGTGCCTTGATCCAGATTTCACCAAAACGACCAAAGCCAACTCGATCAGTTCCAAGTAGTCGTCATAACGTTGAGACTTTTGTTTCAATGCAGCTAGCAACAAGGGGATTGGGGAGTTTTTGTAAAATTCAAAATTCTTCGACGATTCTAGGTCTGAGGACTTGAAGCAGATACGATCAATAGGTACCCAAATTATTTTAAATCGATTAAAAATTGGAATATCCGGAAAGCAGAACAACTTGAAAACCTTACTAAGAATTATTTCCAAAACATGATGACTGCAGACTAACGCAGCATCCATTCTTCATTCCAGTATTTACAAATGTTGTGTCAAAACACATTCCTTATACTTTATCCACCAGATTCCATTCTCGAAGTACGTTTCCGACTTCATTTGCTGTACTCCTAATAACTTTTCTATTCCATCTGCTGAAACTACTATAGTATACTGATAAATGTTCTACTTTAGTTAAGCAGTGGTAATCAGGAAGAATTTTACCATCCCAATGAACAAAAACTAAACCTTGACAAGAAAAACTTTGTTTCATATCTTTTCTTCCTTTCATGTTTTCGTCTCCGGCAAATAGTGCTGCGAGACGGCATTTCATGCGGATCTTTTCCCAGTGCTATCGCAATCTGTACTATAAGCCTTAGAACTTCACGGTCTGAGACATTTTCCCTATCCAAAGCACTTATGACATTTAAACTGTAAAGTGTAGTTTTTAGTTTCTTAGGGAAAGGTGCGGGATTAGCTGATTGAACTAGTGTGTAAGAAATATATGTTTAGGTAAATAATATTCTTTGGTAATTGTAACATTAATATATAGGGCATAACATTTTATCTAACCAGTAAAAAGATGGCGTAATGTTTTTTTTAATAAATTAAAAAAAACTGAAATCTCTTAGCTAATGAGCACTCCCTTCTAATACACCTAGGGGCCTAAAATTTTGGGAATTTTTTATTGATGTTGGAGGTAAAAAAATTGGGGGGTGAGACAATCTGTAAAATCAACTTCACTTTTTTGGACCACCCTAGTATATATACTATATATATATTATAATAGCTTAATACAGCCCGCGTCGTGTCCGGTCGGTCGCGGTCGTAAGAATTTATTAAATGGATTTTTTAAATAGCAACGGAATATTCGGACGCATAGCCTCCTCTGTGACGTATTCACTATATAAAGTCCGATTTACGCGGTTCAGTATTTTTATTTATAACGAAATTATGTCATTGTAATAATAATAATGATTTTAAATTTGATAACAATTTAAATATATCACTATTTAGTCAAAATATTATATCTACATAATTAAATAAAGATATTGAAGTAATGGTTGACATTTTTTGAGGAGGTTAAGCCTTCCCTGACGAGCCGCCACTAATCTTTAAAATACTAAAATTTTAAGTTTATAACTTAAAAAAAATTACGTAATTTTAGAAAATTAACTGAAAAATGTAAAGTAAATTCCCCATAACTTTTGTATTTCTAGAGTAAAAAACTTAAAATTTTGTACAAACGTAAAACAAATTAGGGTATATTTAGAAGCTTTATGTAAACTTACATTCCCCATCCTGTTTTTTGGTCCCTGTCCCATTTTTAAATGTTAAAGCTATGGTAACAGTTCTCTGACTTTCTGAAACATTAACAATGTCCCAAACAAATACTGCACAAGGCATGGAACTGTCCTAAATATAATAAAATAATTAAAAATATATATTTTAATTAAAACTATCTTGCCTTATAATTGTGTGGTATAACAGGACTAACTTGTCTACATTTTAAAGTAACCCCATACTCTGATAAATCATATTCAGTCCAACTTCTTGGGTACAACCCTGTATATTTACACCTACTTCCATCAAGTGTACTAGTCCAATCACGTAAACCTTTTTTTCTGAAAAATTACAATTCATAAAAAACAAATTAGTCAAAATCTTGACTTTTATACTTATTAGTAGACAAAAGACTGTGAAAAATAGTCTGATCTTTATCATCTTTAATTGTAATAATGAACTGATTAGCATCAACTGTATTGTGCTCGTAGAGGCCTGGTTTTAACTGAAATCGTAAAAATTCCCCCCTGAATCCTCTGCCTATTGTTCCACTGCCTATACCCCCCATAGGGACTCCTAAAATTCCATATTAATACATAAATATAAGTATATATTTTTTTAAATTACCGTAACATTGTTTGGATGTTAACGGATATAAACCATCCATAACAATTGATTTTCCGGTAAATTGGGCTTTAATATAATACCAGAGATACCTACAATATCACATGTTATATGCTTTAAGATAAAAGTATGCTCAAATTTGCCTGAAGGTAAATAGGCAAAATAAATACCTTATAAAGAAAGGCAGCATTTCCCATATAATCCGAAAACAAGGTTTATAATTCCCTTTTCTAAACTCAGGATATACATGGTCCAAATTATTTTTTAATCCATATTTAGGCACATTAACATAATCATTTTCCTCGACATCACCCATTTCTACACCAATTATAATAAATTTTTATTATTATTTCGACTCTATTTTTTCGTATTTCTACACCAGCACAAATAATTTAAATTAATCTCAATTGCACCTTCTACAGTAATAAATTATATTGCAATTTATTTACTTAGGTACAATTTATTTAAATATTGATTTGTTATCTTTGGTAGCTAAACTTACTATTTTTACAGTATGTAAATTTTTTATATGGCCTTGCATATAAGCGATAATGTAAATAAAATGGTTAATTTAAGACATTTACAAAAATTTATCGACAATTTTACTCATATTAGTAATAACCTTAAAATACTATTTAATTGTTTAAACTCAGATGTCAACACAGCATTTATTAAAAGGATGAGGGTAGGCAACCAAAACATAAAAATTCAGTTGCCACTACTCTGTGTTAGTCATAGATAAAATCTATGGTGTTTGAATAAAATTAAGAATTTTGTTGTTGAATATTCCATTCTTATTATTGGATTTATTAAAACTAAATTAGATTTAAAGTTTTCATAATTACGTAAATAACACATCATACATTTATTTAATTTTATTAAAATTACAGAAAATCATAACTAAATCTAAATCCTAACCAATAAAGTTCATTACAACTAAATGCAGGACAACATGGGCAAAAATGAAGTCTGCAAATCCCCTTTCAGGGCTGATACCTGCAAACTGATGTTTATTTTCTGGGTTTACTTGTAATCTTAAACATACTAAAAAAAAGATATTATATTTTTATTAAAACATTATTAATTTTTCTTTACCTCCCAATACAAAACAGCTAACACAAGATATAAAACCACTCAAAAACGAATTGAAAGGAAAGGTTCCAACTAAACAGCAGTAAATAAATTGAACTACACCTGTTATTAGGATGTAGGTTAGATATGCATCAATTAGTTTAAGTTTTTTCGGTGTTTTTACACTGTAATCATTGTAAAATCTTGAAATTACCGTTGAAATTTGAGCCATTTTGAGTGAAAATGAGAAAAAACGTATAACTGATTAACATACAACAAATATACTGATTAACCGGTGACAGCGTGTCAAAACTAGATTCTGTGTAGCAGCATCAAGATTGCATATTCAACATTTACAGTGTTGCCAGTTGGAACAGAACTTGAATATATGCAACTAAGATCGCATTTAAGGATACTTTTTATGATAAGACGGTTTTTCTATGGTCCGCCCGCTTCGAAACCAACCCAAACCCAACAACCCAACCCAACCGACCCCGCCCCATTGGCCCCCCCCGCCCCATTGAGTAAAAATTTTTCAATGAATATTCATTTAATTACATTTTATATTATATAACTATAGCAAAATGATTATGAGGAAAGGTAAATAAATTAAAATATTAATATAAAATTAAATATAAATGCTTTTAATGCCACATTGTATTATTTCGGTATATAAATTCATTAAAAAAAAATTAAAAAAGTTATGGAGGCGCCAAGTATCGAACCACGTATCTCTCGCATGCAAAGCAGGCGCCCTTCCATCGAGCTACCGAGCTTATTGTAGAAATTCTATTACTCGAAAAATAATACCGATTTACAGTGTGTGACGTCACAAAGTGTTAACGGGAGCGCAAACATTATGCTGCACAAGCTGGCAACACTGCAATGGTTAAATGTGCAATCTTGATGCTGCTTCACAGAATCTAGTCGTGTCAAAACTGGTATGCACTGTCTTAAATTTTCACTGGATAAACCACAGATTAATCGGTCGACTTTAACTCACTCTGAATTTCCAATTTTTATTGACATTCTTAAAAAAAGGGTGTTTTAAATAGTCAATATCAAAAATAAAAAATGAATGTTTTTAAGTAATTTTTGAGAAAATTAAGTTTGAAAATGTAATTTTTAACAAATTTGTTGACATCAAATGTCAGATTTAAAGCGATGTTGCCAGATGTAATATTTTTACCTTGTTTAGGAAAATTCGGTATGCAACCCAGATTGCATTCTAAAATAAATAGGTATTAAAGTACGCATGCGCCGCCAGTACCGCTACCGCTACTTTCTGAACTATAAATTGCAGAAAGTGATACCGCCAGTGATGCCAGGTCTTCCGTTTTAGCGGTAGATATACCGTTTTTGGAAACAATCTCCCGTTCTACCGCTATTGAAAAAAATCTCCCGCTTTTTTTACTTTTTTTTATAAATAAAATTCACAAATTCTCCTTCGTATTATACAATTTATATGAAACATACGTAAAATATGGGTTGCCTAAACCAAATATTAATATGACACAATTAGTTGGTTCTATCATTGAGTAAGATTCTTTACTCAATGGTTCTATCATTTACAAATGTCAGTGTCTCAGTCACGGGGTATTTCAGCCAACCAAATTTGTAGTACGCGAATATTCAAATTTGATTGGATGAAATTATTTTCTTTAGGCATGAACATAGAAAAAGAACTTTAAAGTAAGAGATTCTTAAGTTAAAGATTTCGATTAGTGAATATTTATTTAAGGTTGTGAAAGTTGTGAAATATCTATAGAATACATTTTCTGTTTTGTTTATCATATTTTGTTTTATTTTGACAAATTCAATCTATTTTTTTTTGGTTACGTAAGTATTAAAATAGAGAAAACCATGGTATTAAAAAAAAATTAAAAACTACCGTTTTTTATTCGAATCTCCCGCTTTTTTTTAACTAAATCTGCCGCTTTAAAAAAAAACGACCTGGCATCACTGGATACCGCTACCGCTACCTTTACCTCTACCTTTACCGCTGCCTCTACCGTTACCTTTAAAACTATAAATCCAGCTTTATATAAAATATTTAATATGAATTATACCATAAATTAAAGAACTCTCTATACATGTTGTGTTAATGTGTACAGGAATCTATAAACACCTCTACGGTTTTCGTATTGTTCATCTTTTACGGGAGAAAGGAATAAATGCAATCTATAAATCAGGCTTTAGGTATACTGATTGGTTAATAAATTTACTCAATGTTTAACACACTCTTGTGTTTATTGCTATAATAGTAGTATTAATAAGATTTTATTATAGGTAATATAAAATATTATAATATAATTAGATAATAATCTTCTTATTTAGTAAATAATATTTACGACATTCGTACACAGAGCTGGGTAAACTACTTGAAAAAAGTAGTGGAGTATAACTACTAACTATAGTATACTTAATTAAAAAAGTAGTTTAACCAGTTTGTCTCTGGTTTAACTATACTACTTATACAAAAAAGTAGTTAGATACTAAGTACAAGTAGTTAGTAGCTAAAAATTGAACTACTTTTTTTAATTACTCTCTCTGACATATTCTTTTAACCGGCAATTAAAAAACACTCTTTAAACTTAAACTAAGTCAAAGTTGCAGCATTGAGTAAAGAAGACATTTTACTCAATGGTTGCAGGCAATCTTAAGACTCAAGTTAATCGGAGATTGAAGAACCAAGCATTGGAAAATTAATTAATTAATCTTACGTTTTTAATTACCTCCTGAAAAATATCAATTTCATACATAATTATTCTTTATTTATTGCACTTATGCACTTTACTTGTCGAAATGTAGGATTGCTCAACAGTATACTGTAGTATACTATAGTAAATAAGACAGAATGCGCTAGGCGAAGGGTTTGTCAAGTTCTTGACAACAACTAATAACCTGTTTCTGCAGGGATACAATCATGCACATCCCTGCTTAAAATACCCCATAGAGACCTATACAAAATAATCTATCGGGCGCTACCGGATTCAATATGTGCATTTGTCCATGGTTTTTTCCGGATACAGCCCGATAGAAAATGTATAGGAAATTACCTATAGGCACACCATAACTTTTACATTTTCCCTATTGAGACCGATAGCAAATAACTCAATGAAGGAGGATGGTTGCTCTATAGGGATATCCCTATAGAGCAACCATAAAACATTTGACAAAATTTTATTAAAACCTATGGGGTCCTATAGGGGAAAAACTAATTTCTACATTTATGTGTATTTTTCCCATTGAAACCGATAGCAAATAAATCAACGGTGGATATCCCTATAGAACAACCATAGATTAGATATATCTATATCTTTATAAAGAGAACAACCATAAATCTCAATTATGGATCCTATACAAATGTCAATTATGGGTCCTATACAAACCGATACACCCTATAGAAACACCACATCCCGATACAAATATCTATCTGTTTGAACAGGGTCTCTATGGGGTATTTTAAGCAGGGATGGCATATCTAGGAAATTACTTAAATAACTACCTATAGGTACCTCAAAAGTAGTTAAAATATATTAAAGTAGTTTAACTATACACAGTAGTTACGACTGAGTAGTTAACTACTTTTTTAACTACTTTTTACGAATATTTTATGAAAACCTAAAATAATCGAGTATAACTACTAGGTAAAAAAATGGTTAAAATACGATTATTTTTAGAAAAAAAGTAGTTAACTACGTAGTTAACTACATTTGTAGTTAACTACTGCCCAACTCTGTTCGTACATTAATGTTGGTTTGGTTTGACGCTTGACAGATGCACAAAATAATAGAGGTTAAAAAATACCTTCTTTACTTATATCTGCGCAGAACTCAATTTTTCGTTCTCGGTCATTGTACACGTGCGACCATGGAGCCTACACAAGGAGTCCGAACTGCATGTAAACAAGAATCTTTCTAAGGAAAGTAGGCGCTGGTGTCCCTTTTATTCTGAAACAATTGACTAATTTGTACCGAAACGCTACCAAAAGAGCAGACGTCAGGACGCATCAACAATCAGCGCCGCAGGTGGTGAAAAAAAAGACTTAATTTGTGCAATTTAGAGGGCAGGTTTTGTCAATTTTTCCTATTAAGTTCGGGCTCCTTGTGTAGGCTCCATGCGTGCGACGTTCTTATGGACCCCCCCACTCCTCGAATTTTTATTAAGTTAAAGCTCCTGAATACGCTAGAGAAATATCGGGTTTTTGCAACGCGCGCGCCGTCTGGTAAACTTCGATAGCATCCCTGTTGTAAATGACCGATTAATTCCTGTAGAAACCAATTGAAGTATTGGTTGGTATCAATGGGTCTGAATTGGACTTACTGGATTTAATTGGGCGCGATATAAAACAGAAATTGGTTTTTACTGGTATTTTCCATGATGGAAAATACCAGTTAGGATTCTAATGGTTTTTATTGGTTTCGATTGGATAAAGCTACCTATAGGTAATTTCCAATTGAATTCAATTGGGCATTCCCAGTGTAAGATTCGAAAAATCTGCTAATTGGTTATTCCCAATACAATACAAATATCGCAAGAGGGCTCTCGTGTAGCTGCGCAAAATCAACGAGGTTGAGACGCCATCATAAAGAAAAAACTACAAGTCTTTGGACGCCATTTATTAGCGGTTTATTTTATTAGTCGATTTCAGTGTTAAGTGCCTAGTGTTAGTAGTCTACTTATATATTAAAAAAATGTTTATATGTGTAACATTACATTTCAGTGTTAAGTGCCTAGTGTTAGTAGTCTACTTATATATTAAAAAAATGTTTATAAGTATGTGTAACATTACATTGTGTAAGATTTAGGGATTTAGGCGATAGTAAGTTATATGTATTAATACATACATATATCACAAAATAATAATAATAAAGAAATAAAATTACTTAGTAACAATAAATTTTTTCTCTTCTGTAAAAAATGAATTCTGGTTTTTACCCGGTTATCCTTCTGGGATCTAAAATTATTTTTGAATGAAAAATAAACTGGTAGGTATTTTCTAATCCAAATTTTAAAAAATTAATTGGTTTAAATTGGTTGGAATGGGTTTGGTGCTATGAATTACCAATTCATTCCATGTGCATTTCTATTGGATTTAGCCAATAGAGACAAGCGTAGGCATGGATTGGTATTTTCCAATTCAAGCCGCTGACTTCATTGGAAATTACCAATAGGAATTCAACTGGAATGAATTGGTGATTCATAGCGCCAAAACACATTTCAAACCAA